TAGTAAATTATTATAGTGCAATTAACAAAATCAGTATATAATTATCTAAATTAATAATATAAACTTTTAATTTAGAAACATGTGGGGTCTACATGCACATATGATATCAAAACATTTCTACCTTAGCCATTAGCATGTAATATTATATAATATATAATAGGATTGGGTTAATCTCAAACCAAAAATTTTTTGTGAGACTTCGTAAGATCAATTTATGTTAATTGATCAATTTTATAAGCTAATGATCTAATGGTTTAAAGTTGTATGGTGATAATTTTGTGATTATAAATGTTCAGATTATAGATCTAATACAATGAATTGAGAATTGATTTTACGGGTCTCACGAAAAACCTTGGGTCTTACATGATGCCAAGTCATATATAATATATTTATGTTTATAAAGAGAAAAAAATGGGAAATTATTTAGGTTAAATGATTTAAAATAATCATTTTTATTGGTCAATTTAAACTTTTAGCCGCTTTTTATAAGGTTTATTAAATTAATTAAAAACCATAGTTAATTTAATAAATTTGGAAATAAAGTGGCTGATGACTATTTTAATGAATTTTGACGTGGAAGTTACTCAACATGCTTGGAGCCCAAGAAAAGTTTCCTTATGGCATCTTTCCTCCTTTAATTTACCATTATACCCTCCGTTTCCTCAAACTCAATTTCCTTTCTACTTTGACGGTTTGACCCGTAACCCGTTCACAATTTTAAATTTAATTTGAATCAATTAAATATATCAACCATGAAATTTTAAATTAATTTGAATATTTATTTAATAATATTTTGCCTTTAAAATGACAAAGTTTTGGTCTAGGGGTACGATAGTCATTCGACAATATACAGATTTGGTGGCTTAACGAATATCACCAGAAATGAAAGGCTAGAATCGTAAAAACGTATATCTCTACGCTTTTACCTTTTTGACTCATTTTCCGAAACGCTGCCGTATCATCCACCACCGCCATACCTTTTTTATGGCATAAAAGGAGCCAAAAACCCATAAACCCTTCTCCAAGAAATCACACACAAAAAAGCGTTTTTGTACCCACTTTCCAATTTTCTTGGGCTTCCTATTTCTTTTTCCGGTGATCGCCGACAAAGATGATGAGTCGTGGAGCGACGACTGTGGTCCGATCGGTGGTGGGTCAGATGGGTCCACGTTTGTTCTCAACCGGCGTTATGAAAACCAGCACCGCTGCCCTCGTGGGCTCTGAGAAGGCGATGGTGGCATGGTGGATAACGTCGTCTCCGGTGAATGGTGCTCGCAATGCGAGTACTATGACGTTGGGAGACAAACAACAGAAGGAAGAGGCGGTGGGTGGTAGCGCCACCGCCGCCGGAAGTAGTCAGAAAGCTAAAGAGGTGGTCAGTTACTGGGGAGTGCAACCACCTAAAGTTACTAAAGATGATGGTTCGGAGTGGAAGTGGAATTGCTTTAGGGTATGATCCAATTCTTGAAGGTCATCAGAGATTTTTTCTTGTTATTTTGGTTTTGGTTTTCTGATTCATAATTTTTGGCAGCCATGGGAGACGTACCAAGCAGATCTCTCGATCGATCTTCATAAACATCATGCTCCGACGACATTCTTGGACAAATTTGCATACTGGACTGTTAAATCTCTCCGATTCCCCACCGATGTGTTCTTTCAGGTGACCAGATTTCAACCAAATCTCTTCCTACTTTTTAATTTTCATTTATTGGGTTTTTTTCTTTGATAAAATCTTTATCATAATTCGTAAATGATTTACGTACATACATGCCAAAGTTAATTTGGAACTCATATAAATCTTACAATTTTTCATTCTGTTTACGTTTTTTTTCCTAAATTTGACCTTATATATCCCAATTTGGTATTTGTGTAAGGGTTTATATGGATATAAACACACACACACACACACACACATATATATATATATATATATATATAACTCGTGGGATTTCATCAAATCTTTCAGAGGAGATATGGGTGTCGAGCAATGATGCTTGAAACCGTGGCTGCTGTTCCTGGAATGGTGGGAGGAATGCTTCTTCACTGTAAATCTTTAAGGCGATTCGAGCACAGTGGTGGCTGGATTAAGGCTCTATTAGAAGAAGCTGAGAATGAAAGAATGCATCTAATGACTTTCATGGAGGTTTCTAAGCCAAAGTGGTACGAACGTGCCCTTGTTTTCACTGTTCAAGGCATCTTCTTCAATGCCTACTTTCTTGCATATCTTGCTTCGCCTAAGCTCGCTCATCGAATCACGGGTTACCTCGAGGAAGAAGCGATTCATTCATACACCGAATTCTTGAAAGAGCTCGAGAAAGGTACCATAGAAAATGTTAAAGCACCTGCCATCGCTATCGACTATTGGCGTCTTCCTGCTGATGCTACACTTCGTGATGTCGTGATGGTTGTGAGAGCAGATGAGGCCCATCATCGTGATGTTAATCATTTCGCTTCGGTAACGGTTTAATTTTCGAATTTAATTTGTTTTCTTGCAAGTTTGATTATAAAGATTCTTGCTTTTGTGATATGAAGTTGCTGACTTTCTGGGATTGAATATGTTGCAGGATGTGCATTATCAAGGACTTGAGCTTAAAGATTCTCCAGCTCCAGTTGGATATCACTAAGGGAAATCCAAACCCTAATTGCTGAAACTTTATGAATGATCTTTTACTTGGATCAGTAATAAAAATGGGTTCTAAAAAGTGACTGTTTTTACTTTCTGTAGATTCTACGATATTGGTTTTGTGGTGTATACAAAAACCAACCTTTTATGTTACAAACTGTTCAAGAAATATGATGTAATCGATGTGTTTTTGATGGTGTTGATGTGTTTTCGATTGGCAGGGTGTTGTTCCTGCCTGCCTCCATTTCCATGAGAGATTCATCTTTCAAGACTGCCTTTTGGTTTTGAAGGAGCTCGAATCTCCATCAATGAAGGTGTGTAGTAATTGTGGTTTGATGCTTTGATTTGGAATCTGGATTGTTGCAACCAATTTTGAGTACGGAATGGAAGTGGTTGATCGATGGATTGGATTAATGGGGTGGTTTAGTATCGTTAATTTGCAGGGTGTTGTTTGGATTGATCATTGTGAAACACTTCATTCCAACGTTTGCAGCATATGAGAGAATCACAGAAGGTTTTCAGGAGGATTAGTGGTTGCAAGGTTTAAAGACACCCATATAGCTAGTTGTAAAGCTGTGTTTGGTACACGGGACTGGAAAGGACATGACAGAACTCTACTGTTTCATATTTGACTTGACATGAGACCGAGATTGCCTTCTGTTCCACCTAAAAATGAGAGAGAAGTAAAAAATTATCAACCAACCTATCCTTATTTGATGTATAACCATAATATCATATTTGGTTTAATGGCCACCATCGGCAGCCACAAGATGGTTAGTGATTAGTTGCAGATGTGTTCTAATTTGTGGAGTTTGAACGAATGTGGGATGCTGAATTCTGCGACAGCAAATGAACGTTTAATGAGGTTTTGAGATGATTACAGAAACATAAAAAGCAACTATAAACATAAAGTTGTTCGTATGAGGGGAATCAAATCTAGAAACTGTTTCGGTAACAGGGTCTGTTGAGCTTCGGAGTAATGAAGATATGTTCCTCCCTACAAGAGTACAAATGCACCCGATTAAGATCTAAAATTACTAACATGATTAATCCATCTCACATTCTACGGAAGCGGTAAAAACCCTTTGACAAACCAACCTTTCTTTAAAGGGTAAGACAATGCCATATAGCAAGAGTGATTGGACCGGACAGGAGTTGACACGATTGGGTATGACAAGCTGTTTGACTGGTGTTTGGTACGATTAGGGTCATGACAGAGACGAATTCAAGATCAGGCTCGTTCCTGACATTTTATAGGCCTTGGGCGAACATAAAAACAGGGCGTACCGCAAGAAACAAGGCTTTTAGCAACGACTTTTGTTGTTGCTAATAGTCCATTTATCATTAGAGATAGTATGTAACAACATGTCGTCGCATCGTCAAAGTTCACTTTTCTTGTGATGACCCTCGGTAACTACGAATAAATGTTTTTCATTAGTATAAAATTGAGTACAGAAAATGCTAATAATTTACTAAGAAAAGAAATCTTATTTATCTTTATTATAGATATATAAGAGAGTACTTAAATTTACATGCTTCTGTTAGGTAATTTGAAACCAAAAGTATAGAAACTATATAGTTGATAGTTTCTTATTAAAAGTAAGATATTTTTTAGTTCATAACAAGAAATATGTGTTATTTTGATACAAAAAGAGAATTTGTCTGTAAGAAGTAATCGTGGGGGTCAATGAGAGATCGATAATAAATAAAATTATCAATGTTTTCTAGACAAATAGACAAATAAGAATCAATAAGGATATGAAAGAAAATATGATCAATTGAGATCCAATAAGAATAAATAATGAATTAAACATATAATATGCAAACTCAACAAATGATTGTTTGAACATTTAAATAGAATAGTGTAGTGTGGTGGAATCCCAATGAATGATACATAAGTCAAACATTTGATGAAAATATTTAAATTATATTTTCCTTCTTTTTTTGCTCAACTAAAATAAGATGTTAAGATTAAAAGCTTATGGAACATCATGATCTTGTTGAATTGTTGAAGTACGAAAACAGTCAAGCATATAGAGATAACAATAGCCAATATCACTAGACCTTGTTGGAGATAAAAAAAAATTAGAGAGGCAATAAGCAATAGCATATAATGAATGATCAATTAATTTTTTTTTATTTTTATTCTAATGTAATTAGTTGATCTATTTTTATGTCATTTTTAATAACTAAATTCTTTTTGCCTCTTATTATATGTTACAATTTTTGGATTTCTTCAATTTATTAAGTTATTTTAGACTACTACTGTATTTTAAGGGAAAAATATGAGCCCCTAATATTTTTGGACAATGGGCGTGCGCCCGTGCCGCCCTCCCCTAAGGACGGCCCTGTTCAAGATGGTCAACCTTAAAAAAAGACGAAGCTCGAGAGAATAAATTTTCTGCTTAATTTTATAATAAATCGGAAGTACAAGACTTGAAATAATAATGAAGCAACCTGTAAAACTAACCCATCCTACCCATGACTTTCTTAAAAGAATGACCTGACTTGTACTAAGCACATACTAAATAAGAAAACTAATAATAATACAAAAACTGCAAATAATAAAGTCTTTGGGAAGCCTAGTATCAGGCTAGTAAAGAATTTATGGGTTGGGTTGATCGAGTTGAAGACATTTTAATAACTAAATATAATGTTTGCGGTTTGAAAAATCTTAACTCAACCCAACACAAACGAAAGTGCAAACCAACCCAATCCAAACCGTACGGGTTGGTCGGGTTGATGTTTTGGTACATTAAAATATTATTCTAACCTTGAACATGTTATTTCTCTACTCATTATTTCTTTTTCATCATCAATCATTTGATACAACTTATCAATACTTCTTATGTATATCACATTCAGTTAATTATCTCAATTTACGTATATATGTTTACAGTTACTGAACATATATATGAATGAGTTATATAGAGATGTGAATAGATTGAAAAGACGTGTATATAAATAACGTACATGATAGTGTATATATTAATAGAAATTCAACAATCATATTAAATCCAATAAATAAATGGATATCGGGTTGGATTGGGTTCAAATAATAGTAACCCAATATCAACTCAATACCTACGATTTGAAAATTTTACAACTCAATTAGACATCGGGTTACTTCGGGTTGAGTTATTTCGTGTTGGGTTGGGTTGATCGGGTTGATCGTGTTGGTCGGGTTTTTGAGCATCCTACATATAATAGTACCGAATTTGAATGAATTTTTTATATAGTTAATGGTAGTTTAAAAACTTGTTACATACAAAGAAAACTATGTTTTATTTCGTTTGGAAGATCCTTATAAACTAGTGGAGGCACAGTTGAGGTTGTTGCAGCGACAATAGTGGTGGGGGTAGAGGAGGTGGTGACCGGTGTACGACAGTGGCAGTGAAGGATGTGAAGATGGTGGACAATGGTGGTATTTGCGGTCGACAGTGGTGGAGTAGGTAGCAGTGACTGATGTGGTGTAATTAAAGGTGATTGAAGGTGACAGTGACTGTAGAAGGTGTAAAAAATGGTGGACAAGAGGCGCGATGCAAGTTGTTACAACGACAATGGTGGTGGAGGTAGAGGCGATTGTGGCTAGTGGACAACGGTGACTGTGAAGGATGTGAAGATGATAAGCAATGGTGGTCGTGGCAACCAACAATAGTAGAAGAGGTAATTGTGGTCAACGTATTGAAAGGTAGAGGTAGGGTAGGCAGTTGTTTGGTAATCAATGGTGGTTATGGTGGAGGTAGTCGGCGGTGGCTGCTAGTGGCCGCTAGGGATGGTGGTGGCGGTGGCGGCAACGATGGACGATAGTGACCATTAAAACAAATATCATTTTAGAGTTATATCAGATGAGGGTAGATTAGTGATCTTTTAGTTTCTGTCTTATCCTTATCCCATCTTGTTCCACCTATTCTGGTGGAACAAGACCCAATTCCAGTCCCAATCCTCATCCTTGTTCCAAATGTGAGACAGTAAGTTTTAGTCATGTCATGACCCATGTATCAAACGCTACTCTAATTCTTGATCTTTAACAAATCATTTCTTTGCTCAACAATTTTATATTTATATAATTGTATAATATTTAGTTCTTTAAGGGTGTGTTTGGTATATTATATAAGACATGAAAAACATAACATAACATAACAGAAATCCATGTTTCATGTTTGACAGAACTTTTAGGTAAAACAAACAGAAATTCTCATGAAACGTGCTTGTTCGACTCCTACCTCATGGAACATGGTGAAACAAACTTATATTTTATCAATTTATCTCTTATAAAACATCAAATATGTCTTTTTTTATATATATATTTCATTCATTCTTTCAACTTTATTTGTTGTATATGTTTTTTAGACTTTCATTTTACTGTCCTCAAAATATTATTATTATACAGTTTCTATATTTTTATTAATTTATGTAATATATTATATATTAATAGTAAAAAAAAATATAGAAAAGGAATAATATAAAAATTAGAAACTACATAAAGTTTTTATTTTAATGTCATTTTATTTGTTTTGTCGAAAACTTTCTAATGATATGTTCTATCCATACTATATTATAGCACATTTGACAAACACTCTTAAAAACCATACTAATGAATATTACATAGAATTTAAGATTACAAGTAAATTGTGCATAAATACAACTTATTATAGCTCCATTTTTGAATTCGTATAACTAACTGCAGATAAACATAATCAAATTCCAGATAAAGATCTTATTTTAAATATAAAAAATCTAAAATATAATTAGGATAATCATTGAGTTATAACAAAATTCTTAATTATTATTCTTATGAAAAATTATATTATTAAATCAAAAATAAATTACTTTGTTATTAAATCTAAACTAAATTATAATAAAAAAAATTGAATTAAAGAAATTACACAAAATCAATAACTTTTAGATAGTTAATTTGATACTAATATTGATATATTTATTTTTGAAATTTTATGATATTTTCAAATTTATATTTTATTCAAAAATAAAAACATTATCTCATTCTTAAAACCACATAAAAAACAATGTATTATAACATCTTCGGATAAAGAATAAAACAAAACATTAAAATCTATATATATTTCGCTGTATTGCACGAGTACCCTCCTAGTTATAAAAAAACAATTATCTTATTATAAGTTAATAAATTACATAAATTAATTAAAATATATTAAATAACTCATTATAAATAAATTAATTATTTTATTTATTCTGTTATATCTTATCTAAAACCGAACAGTTGTTATGTAATATTTTGTTCCCTTCAATGGTGGCTAAAAACCAAAACCAGCCTAAATTCGTAATCCATATGCTTGACGGCGAAAGTTCATTGACCTTGGAGCCCAAGAAATGACGTATGCCGTCGTCTTTATTTGACCATCTTACCCTTTTTATATTTTTTTAAATGAAAAATCTTCTACAATAATCCATCAAGCATCTCTTCTTTATTTTATCGTCGTTTTTCAATATTATGATTGAAATAGTCTAAGATTATGTAAGTAGCCATTATTTAATTTGTATTAGAAAAGTATTCGTATAATGTAGCGAGACACATATCGATTTTAATGTTTTATTCTATTATTTGTTTCTGTCGATGTTATAATACGATTTTATGTGTTTTTAATAAATCAATAATGATTTTATTTTTTAATAAAATATAAATTTGAAGATATCATAAAAATTTGAAAA